ATATCTCATAAGTATGCAAAAAATATGTAAATGTTCACTGTAGCTGGTCTTAAAAAAAAAGAACAAAAGAGAAAACAACGTAGAATCTCATTAATAAAGGCCTCGTTACATAAATTACAGTATACCCATACCATGGAATATCAAGCAAATTTTTTTCAACAAGGTGTATATATATTACACATATGTAATGGTAAGAAAAAAATATTCAAAGTTATAGTTCTGTGAAAACAGCAATTTTCAGCAGCAGCGACTAAAATATACTGGGTGCTTACTAAGCATCAGGCACTTGTGCTAAGTGTTTAAATAATAAATACATTTAATCTCATAATAATTTCATGACAAAGAATTTTTACAAAAAGAGAAAAGATATACAGATATTAAGTAGATATTAAGTAATTATCCTAGAAAACATAGCTAGTAAATGACAGAAGAACCAGGATTCAAACCGACACTATCTGAATCCAGAAGTTACACTCTTTTTTTTTTTATGTTTATTTATTTTGAGAGAGAGAGAGAGAGAATGCAAGTGGAGAAGGGGCAGAGAGAGCGAAAGAGAGAATCCCAAGCAGGCTCCACAGTCAGCACAGAACCCAAGGCGGGACTTGACCTCATGAACTGTGCATCTCATGAATGGGACATGAATCATGACATGAGATGAGATCAAGAGTCAGATGCTTAACTGACTGAGCCATCCAGGCACCCCCAGAACTTACACTCTTAAATCGTAATAATATAATTCAAAACAGTACCAACCAAGTTGTGGGGTTTTTAAAGTATATATATATCAATAATTCACTTGTATTCATAAATGTACATATAAAATCTCTGGAGGTATGAAGTATGCATTTAAAAAATACACTCTGAAGGCATTCCCTGTGATCTTATTTGCTGCGAATAGTTTCCTTTGTGTGACAACTCCAAAACAACAACAACAACAGAAAAAACACACACATACACACTCCCCAGCATGGAAAGTGAGCAAAGAAAGGAAAAGGGGGCTTTTACGTTTCACATAACAACCTTCAATGCTATTTGAATTTTCCTTTTAAAGTAAACAAATACTATATTTATACTTCTTAAAAATTTCGATCATAGAACAAAGATGAACTTTATTCATCTTGTAGGGTCAGGATACTCTCCCATTAAAGAGATTCAGAAACTCCAAAAAATAAAGCAAGAGTTTTCCCACAAAGTTGAATCTCTTCCAACACCTAACAGCTACTCAAATTGCTCATCATAAATCCAAGTCAGAAAAGCACTAAAACTTTCCAATAAGCACTAAAACTAATGTATTTTCAGTTTTATTACTCTTAAAATTGTTTTTGCCCGATTTCTATTCTGGACAAGCACACTGAATAGACATGCTCAAACCTGTACCATTCTTAGCTACACAACTGTTTGTGAGCAGTTAACACACAGATCTCAATTCAAAGACAGGCCAGGCATAATAAAGTTCAAATATGGACTATGTATACTATTCATTCATTCACCCATTTAGCAAACATTTATTGAGGGCCCACTAAAGGCCAAGGTGCTGGGGATGTAACGGAACAAGTCAGACAAGGTCATTTCTCTACCCTCTGAAATTTACATGCCAGTGGGGAAAAAAAACCAGGAAAAGCTTTATTCTGAAGTATGCACATTACTCTGGATCCACAAGTTAACATATTAAAGACTACAAATGACCTTAAATTGAGATTAAACAGAAGGGCATTATGTGTGGGTTTTTTAAAATTAAAGTTTAATTATTATTAACTATTTAGGAAAGCAGTAGGGTTTCATCCAAAGAACTGTGCAATTCTGGAAGCTGAGGCCACAAAAAAGCTAAAATGTAATGAGCTAAACTTTTCTCTGCAAAGGTCACTGGGCTAAAAGCACTTCAAATGTTTTATTTCATGCAAACTCTCCCATAACCCCAGTTAGAGTTACGCCCATTTTGAGATAAGAAAGCCAGCATAAGACAGGCTAAGGATCTTGCCCAAAGCTAACTAGTAAAATGGCTGAACCAGTCTCTGAATCCTGGCCTTCTGAAAATGAATGTAAACTCTAATCCCTGTATTGACTGGGTCCTGGCTGGCAGCAGGCTGATGATGGAGAGATGTGTGTATTTAATCGTGTAGGCAGTGGAAAGGAAGTTTTACAAGACTCTCAAGCAAAGCAAAAGGAGTGTCTTATTAAATCTGATTACAGAGCCCAACTTTAGGAAGTTAACTCTGCCCACTGTATATAATGACCCAGACCAGGGAGCAACTGGAGTCAGTGGCATCAATTAAAAATGAGTAAAGGCAAGGACAAGGGCAGGGGAGGAGAGAGCCTGGGTGGCTCAGTTGGTTAAGGGTGGGTGGCTCAGTTAAGCAGTCGGACTCTGGATTTCAGCTCAGCTCATGATCTCAGTTTGTGAGATTCAGCCCAGAGTTGGGCTCCTCACTGACCGCACAAAGCCTGCTTAGGAGTTGCACAAAGCCTGCTTAGGAGTTGCGCTCTGTCCCTCTCCTGCTTGCACGCGCGCACGAGCGCTCTCTCTCTCTCTCAAAAAGAGCATGCGCTAGCAGGAGAGGGGCAGAGAGAGAGGGAGACACTGACTCTGAAGCAGGCTCCAGGTTCCGAGTATCAACACAGACCCCTATTCGGGGGGGCTCCAACTCAGAGACAGATCATGACCTGAGCCTGATCCAACCAACTGAGCCCTCCAGGCGCCCCTCCCACTTTTTTTTTTTAAAGAATGAGTAAAGGATCCATATAACTGTAAATGGTCCAAAGCTAAGAGCACTTCGAATGGTGACTACAGCCCAGCCTCCAGATTACCCTCCTCCCCAGGGAATTTTCCTTCCTTCCATTAAACCAAGATGTTGAAAAATCCTGAATAGTAAGTGAACCAACTGAGTGTCACATTTAACCTTCAACTGGTAGAATATTATTAATAGAATAATAATAACAACTGTGTTAGGTAGAGAACAACTGCCCAGTGAGGCTCTATTCAGCCTGAGTTGGACTGAACAATTCTAACAGATATGCTGGGAATGACAAGAAACACTCCTCTAGGACGCTTAACCGACTGAAAAGCTAAAGGGAAAGGAAAGTAACGGAATCCTGATCACTCTCAAATACCTTGGCTGTTCCTCCAAACATCACTGCTTACCATGTGAAATCCCCAAGTATGATCACCATTTGGGGTTTTAAACACTATACATACAATGCTACATTTTCACTCTTGCCACAATTAACTTGGGGTCAACTTGGGGTAATCTACCTATATAAATATTTTGGGGAATGGAAGTGAATTACATTTATACGTTTCGAACTTTACTGCACTTAATCCTCAAAGCCATCCACCAAAGACGGATCTAAATCCATCCATCAGTCAACTGCAGGTCAATCACTGGCATTGACTTCTCCAGGTATGGCAGACAAATAATGCCCCCTCAAATATGTCCACATCCTAATCCCTGGAATTTGTGACTATGTTACCTTCCATAGCACAAGAAAATTAAGTTGCAGATAAAAATTAAGGCTGCTAATCAACTAACTTTAAAACAGGAGATTATCTTGGGTTATCTGGCTGGGCCCAAAGTCATCACAAGAGTCCTTAAAAATGGAAGAGGGAGGCAAAAGAGAGGTCAGAGTGAGAGGATGTGAGAAGGACTCAATCGGCTGTGGTTGTTGGCTTTGAAAATGACCGAAGGGGGGCAATCAGTCAAGACACCAAGCATGTGTGCTCTGCAAGCTGGAAAGGCGAAGAAATAGATCCCACCTACAGAAAAGAACCCAACCCTGTCAACATCTTGATTTTGGCCCAGGGAGACAGCAATCAGACTTCTCCCCTACAAAAATAATAAAGCTGTGTTGTCTTAGACCACTAAATTTGTGGTAATCTGTTAGGCCAGCAAGCAAATAGAAACCTAATGCACCAGGCTTCTCCTAATCCCTGGATTTTCGGAAAATTTTGTCAATAATAACTATTAAGGATTACTTACTAAATTCCAGGTAGTTTTCTATAATCCAGGACACAACCAGTCTGTGAACTGTTTGGTGCTGGTCTCCAAAGAAAGAAATACAAAAATTGAGAGTGTTTATTTTTTACATAATTTAGCACTGCCACACATCCAATTTCATCACGTCTGCTAAATTTAATATTAAAAAATGTGTCTCCTTGGGGCGTCTGGAGCACCGGTTAAGCATCCTACATTGGCTCAGGACTTCAGCTCAGGTCATGATCTTGAAGTAACACGAGTTCGAGCCCTGCGCGTGCTCTGACAGCTCCGAGCCTGCAGCCTGTTTGAGATTCTGTGCCTCCCTCTACCTGTCCCTCCCCGGTCGCGCTCTCTCTCAAAAATAAACATTAAAAAATCTGTGGCTTGTATTTATGTGTATCACTTCCATTTCACTTATCTAGTAACTTCATCGTATTTTATTTACAAAGTATTGCCTGAAACAACACATGGAGAATATTTCTAATGCCATTTACAGAAAAGGAAATTGAAGCACTGAGAAGTTAAATCACCTGCTCAAGTTCGTAGAGACAGTAATTCTCTTCCACCTATCCACTGAATTAACAAATACTTATAAAGAGCCCTGAAGACCAGACACCAAGCTCCACGCTGGAACTTAAGTGTATTATAGGACTCCACAGCAGAGGCCAGCCTCTCCCGGTGTAGAGTCCAATCCGCCTTTGAGTCGCCGGAGTCTCCCCAGGTCGCCGCACTGGTAGCGCGCCCTGCTGGGTTTCCCTGCCAGCACTCACCCAGGAAGACGCGCGCAAAAAGGAGTGTGGACAAGGCAGGCCCAGCACATAAAGGCTGCACAGAAGCACAACAAATGCAGAAAAACACCGAGAGCTCCCTTGGGTCCTAGCAGCCCGCGGCAGGGCCAAGACACACCCCTTCCCTCAGCTCCACCCGCTAGGCCAGGCTCCGCCCCAACTCCCGCTCCACCCACCACTCCGGAGCTCGCCTCAAACCCAGCCCCGTCCCCCGCGTGTCTGGCGTAGTCCCGCGACTCACTCTCTTCTGCCGGAGGTCCGCCTTCCGCCACAGCTCTGAATGCCGCTCCAAAGCGTTCGCGAAGCCGCCTGGGCCCCTTTTAGGCTCTGTGGTATCGGAACTCTCACTCCCGGAGCTACTCTCAGTTCCTGCGCCTCGACAGGGCCGAGAGAAGAGAAACACTCGCAGGAAACGGCTCTCGGCAATTGCTGCACGGGCCAGGCACAGCGCCGCCATGACGGCTCCGTAACCTCTGACCTTACACCTCTCCGCAAGCGCGCAGGTCACGGGGCGGAGCAGCAAATGGCCCACCCACTTGTGGAGCACTGATGATCCGTAGGCGTGTAATCGTCAGTTGGTGCAGGGGAGGAGTGTGGTGGCGCCGGCGGTGGGGCCGAAGGTTAAACTAGTATGGGGGGGGGGGGGGGATTAAATCGTCGGTGCCCCAGGGGTCCCCTACTGGCCGCGATCTGCTAAATTTTCGCGGAAGGCGATTTTTGACTCCTAGGAATTTCGTTCCCCAGGCCATCGCTCGGACCTTGTCCTGGTGTGTGTTAAATTCTTATAATGCGACGCTTGCTAGCCCCGCCGCCTGGGTTTTTCTTCCAAACGGCCAGAAGACCGGTTTTTCGGGTCTCTGCTCAAATATGAAGTTCTCCTTGATTACTGTATTTACAATTGGAACCCCACTCTATCGGACTCTCCTGGTTTCCGTAATACCATGGAGCATTCTTAATATGTTCTATGGCTTACTTCTAATTTATTTTGCGTCTGCTGTCCCAAATTTGTAAACTCTTGGCTGTTGGATCCCTAACACCGTATTAAGGCTCAATGAACGTTTATGAAATCATGGAGCCAAGTTTGTTTTTTCACTTCTGAGGTCAGTCCTCTGACGTTACAAAATTTAATTTTTCTGAGAAGTTTTTGTCATTTGTAGAGAGCGGCAGTTCCATCCAAGGAATTGAATTTCAGAAATGTGCTTCTACCAGCACCACCAGAGACCCCACCATTTCTCACCTTTTCCCCACCAATGTTAATTCCCAGAATTTGTCCACCCATTTCAAAGCCGCGCCTAACACCATACTGACACATTTCCTTTGACCATTAGTGAAGTCTTACCTGCAACATTTTTGCATTATCTGTGGCTATTTCTACTTATACTTCCTTTCGAGAAAAAGTGTTAAATTGTAAAGTGCATTGGCCAGTGATCTTATGAACCTCAGTTCTAGTTCCGACTGTAAACCTGATCTCAGGCAAACCAATTTAATGGTCATTTGGCTTCCTGCCTTGTAAATCCAATCCATTAGCCTCTCTGCTAACTTCTAAAGTGCTTTGGAAATTTAACTAAATCAATAGCTATGGAGCAAATGGGGTTAAGAAGGTCCTAGCTCTAAAATTCAGTAGATGTATGATACTCATGTCCTACCTCCACCAGATAACAGATTCCTTGAGGATTATGAGAATGGACATTTTCGGACAAATCCTGAGGTGCTGAATGTATAAATGTTTTTATCAACTGACTTCAAGTTATGCTTAGTTCTTTACCTTTGGGAGAGCATCAGTAGTATAAGGACTGGATGGATGTAAAGGGGGTATCCACACAGTTTGTCCTAGCCTATTCCAACGGTAACATCAGCTCTCACGGCAGTATTTAACATCTTAATGGCACCTTAGGGATTTGCCTCTAAAGCCTGCCCTACTCCTTGAACTACAGCTTCCTTCTTGCTTTGTTAAAAATAAAGGCCTTTTTCCCCTGTAGCTTGCAAACTGTTAGTAGGTAACTTACAAATCGTTAGTGCACTTTGTAAAAATAGTAGTGATGGTGGATGGCAAGGAAAGTGAACAGAAAATAGTTCAAGTCCTGGCTCCATATCTAATGGTTGTAGTCTCATTTATAAAATGATTACACTGCCACATCCTGGAGGAAAGAATTAAGGGAAATAGGTGAAAATGCCCAAGACTTACTGAAAGCTTGATAACTACTGCCTATTAATGTCTGGGTGGAGGTGACCAGGAAGTGATTAGAAATTCATGCCTCGTAAGCATACATAAAAACCTAGAAAATAAGATAGGACTAATGATACACTGGCGAGATAACAGTTTTACTCTACAGATGGTCATTTCAGCCACAGAGAAAAAGAAGATTAAGGAGTTCATGTAGATCAACAGGGATACGGAATAACACTTAAAGAATTAGAAGAAGAGATTATCAGAAAATAGTCAAACTAAAAAATAAGAATAGAGAATTGATCCTAGAAACCAAGGAGAAGACCAAAGCATCATGATAAAGCAAAAGATCATACCCGCTTATAAATATTTTAATAACAAAACTGTTAGGCTTTCACTGCATGCTAGGAAAACCACCAAGTAAAAAGAGTCACACTACCAACCAGCCTCATTATGTAATCAAAATTACCTAGGAGAGTTGACAAGAATTTTAGTCACCAAATAGTATTTATTTAAGTATGAAGTCCTGGCAGGTGACAGGTACATGCAGGCCCTGCCCTCTGGAGGCTTACAAACTAAGAGTGAGTTCTTTTGTCTCATTCTGATTTGGGTTCACTTGGATTTCAGAATCAGAATATGGAAATTATTTGCATAAGTTTTGCAAGTTTACTCAGAAGTGATGGCTTTATATATATATTTATATTTATACATTTATGTTTATTTATTTTGAAAGAGAATGAGCAGGGGAGGGGCAGAAAGAGAGGGAGAGACAATCCCAAACAGCACAGTCAGCAGAGTCATGGATTAATAGCCAAATGTTTCTTCACAAAACAATCTGATTTTTCATCTGGGTCTTAAGAGCTATAAAGAAACACATGTGGTCCTGACATAGGACTTTATGCAGCAACAATTCCTTTGCCTACATACAGCAGATAGTCGCTTAAGAGTCGACATGTAGCGTATGCTTGATACACTTCATTCCATATAGCTACTTGGGTTTTTTTTCCCCCATATCTAGAATATGAAGTGTCTGGAGAGAAGTTGTATAATGGACTCACCTCTTTCCTTGACAGGTAATACATACAAAAGGACCCCATACCCAAATTACAGTATTTTTATTGTTTTCAAATACTATACAAAAAAAGATACAGTGTGCATTTAACAGATCCATAAAGAGTGATTCCAAATTAAAGATGTATTTTCTCTATTTCAATAGTTTGAGTTACTAAAATGATAATCCAATGAATTCTACTCTCTTTCATTGATTTCCTTTGGCCTCAAAAGCATAAGAATTCTTGCTTTATTTTCCACAAACTGCATAAATTGAAGACCTTTCATAAAAAGGAGTTAACTTCAGGGGATTATTTTCATCTATCACACTTCTTGAATTCTTCAAAATCTGGTATTTCACTCTCAAATTGTTCTCCTACAGTGTCAAACACAAAATTCAACACAGTGGCCAGGATCTCTCTGGTATTTCTTAAATATCTGTGAATTCATAATATTGAATCTTCCACAAAGACTATTTTGAATAATATTTCTAAGTCCATATGTTTGTTTTTCTAAATTCATCCTCTTGCTACTTTTTACTACTTCTTTTAAAATGCGGAGTACTTTGCGATAGATTAAATCATTTTAACATTAAGTACAGGAAGACGTCTGGAAAAGTGATTCTCCAATTTCTTTCACAACCATCACCGATACCCACATACACCCATCCCATTTTCCAACGCTTATGCTATCATTTCTCACTGGAAAGTCAAAAGATTTGAGTATATTTCGCTCAGCTAAAGAAACTGCCATCTTATTCCATTTTGTCTTGTTGAAAGATAGTAACAGGGCAGGACACCCAAGAAACAATGCAATGAAAAGATGATGTGCTTTCTTTTTAAATGAAGGACTAATTAGAAAAAAATAATTTAACAGTTATGTTGAGTAACCAGAGTATTTCTACAAAAAGACAAACTTTCTACAGACCCACTCCTCCAGGACAATGCTTCAACAATTGGGACATTTGCCGCAAAGCCCCTTTAAGGAAATAACTTATATGTTAGTCTAACACCATTAAGCAGTGATTTAAAGCGGATAGTAAAAATAATGTTTTTGTTGTTTTGCATAGACACCAGTTGATTCTTTAATACAAGCTATTTCCAGACCATTGGTCTCACAATAAATATTGAGACCTATACTACTGATATACAGAATTTATTAGGCTTTTCACTATAATAGAGCATATTTTTAGTTGCATCTAAAGTGCTATAACAAAAGCTCTAGCAATCAAGAATGGCAGCATGTTACTTAATCAACACTTGTGGCTCTTCAAATTTGGTTTTCAAAGGATAATTTATCCTAAAGTAAATCTAGTCATGCTTTTAAAAAAAAATGCCTTAGGTCACTCCAAGCTTGGCAATTAACATTTGGCATAAACAATAAAACAATCACAACTTGATAAATAACAAATACAACATTATAGGCCATACCATACACAGAATAATGAAAAGGTAATAGTGATGAATAAGTAGCTATTAGAATAGAGTACCTTGGCCTCCATGCAGATACTTTCAGAGGCTTTGGTTCATTCAACCCTGCCATTTTTTCAAAATAGGGAGCAATGTCTGCAGTATCCTTTTATAATTTCTAAGATACCGAAAACAAGTAAGTAAAAAACAATGAGCTGGTTTTCATTAATGCATTAGATCCTCAGGAGTTACCACCAACCCCTTAGTATAAAATCTTTTCAAGTTCTATTAGTCATATAACTTTGTGTGCTTAATTTTATATGGTGCTGAATGAATCAAATGAAGACAGCAATGCTTCCCCTAACGTGATTGATTTTAGCATTATTACAGCTAAAAAACTTTCAGGCTTTTGAGAGGAACATTTGTTGAGAGTGTTCATATTTCAACCTACTGAAATCGAGTATGCTCAATTCAGAATGTTATTTTGCAATTTACTCTGAAACTAAAACTTAAATCTTGTGAAAAATAAGTTGACATAAATGGCATAATAATAAGCACACTACCGTGGTTACTGTCACAGAGGGTGACAAGGATAAGACGATTCCACTCTCAAGTCACCGAGGAGCTTGAATTGCTGTACATGTTGTCACTCACAAACTATAACAAATTGGACGCAGACCTGATTTGTTTGGTCTGCTTTCTTCCGACACACAAGACAGAAGATACCTTGTACCAGGACGACGTTTACTCAAAAATACTTTTTGTAGCTGGTAACTCTTCCCTTGGAGGTAAAGAAAATTATGCCAGAACTTTTAATAACCAGAAAACTTCAAATTTTAGTTAGCAATCAAAGATACGGAGATTCAAAGAGAAAACAAAGAAAATCATTTTGAAGACAAAGATCAAACTGACATCCCAGATCTAGAGCAATTTTATAAAGTAGGAAAGCAGTGATGAGAACCCTGAAGCTTCTTGGATCATTCTAATGAGGACCCCCAGGTATTTTACATGTGGTTTTATAATGGGGTTTCCTAAATGACGAGCCTTAAATGCACATGAAAGGGTGTTTCCAGGGAACAGACGTGAAGATACTTTTATTGTGTTCAACCCACAAACTATTTGGTCAGATGAACATGTAAAGCTAAGGAAAAGCACATCCGGTGGAAGTGAGAGCAATGAGTGTTGACATGATGTGCCTGGATGCTGCTTGCAGCGGCTGGCAGTGGGCGGCATCGCGGGTCAGCCCCTCACAGGCCCCCCTGCGTCTGCTCCGGAAGAGGCTCCGTAGAGGTGGCACTTGCGTTTGCAGTTGAATTCAAGACTTCTCCGAAATCCCCGCCAGAAGGCTTGGTCCCCCCTACCTTAGACTTTAAAAAACAAAAAGATACAAAAAGGACAAGACATCATGAAACAAAAAACTCAGATGACTCTACAAAAAAAGTAACTCAGATTTCACTTTGAAGAACAAATAAATCAGGCACCTCGCAGCCCACTGACTATTCTCTGTATGTACGGAACTTGGTACTGTTGCGCTCGGTGCTGTGGTGGAGGAAACCATGCGGCCTTTTCTGCTGAAATACTTCCACCCCCTCCTCTTTTTTCCCACCCGCTCACTGCTCTTCACAGGGAAATTTGTCTGAACAACTTTTTCAGACCTCTTACTCTAAATTATCTATTGAAGTCTCTTTTTTAAAAAAATATTTATTTATTATTTTTGAGAGAGAGAGAGAGAGAGAGATAGCATGAGCACAGGAGGGACAGAGAGAAGGAGACAGAGGATCCAAAGTGGGCTCCAAGCTGATAGCAGCAGCCCAATGTGAGCTCACACTCATAAACTACAAGATCATGACCTGAGCCAATGCTGGATGCTTCACCAACTGAGCCACCCAGGTACCCCACCATCTCTTTATATTTAGATAGCACTTTGTATTCCATCCAATTGTTCATTCAGCTACACTCATTCAAGAAATACCAAATATAACAAAGGAAAGGCATATATATATACATATGTATGTGTATGTATGTGTGTGTATATATATATGTATATACATACATATACATATATATACATATACACATACACACACATACATATGTACATGTATGTACATGTATATGTATGTGTATGTATATGTATGTGTATATGTATGTATATTCATTCCCCGCTTATGGTAAGCTTTCTAACCCAGTGCTACCTAAGGTATGCTTTTTTTAATTTTATTTTATTTTTATTTACAAATAGTTTATTGTCAAATTAGTTTCCACATATACCTAAGGTATGCTTTAATTGCAGCACACAGATGGACTCTGCATCACCTGGGAGCTTGTTAGGAACAGAGGGTTTCAGGCCAGCCTTCCCACCTCCCTACCTCCAGCTACAAAGGTCTCCAGGAGCTCTTGCCAAGTTAAAGGTTGTGGACCACTACTCCAACTGATCTGGCCTGAAATTCTGTCAATAAACATCTTCCTGCATGAAGAGGTCTACCATACATTTGTATCCTACTTTATGCTCTTCAAAACTTTCATGATGTCACTTCATCCTTAATAACACTGATGTATCTATGCTGTCTCTCTGTTACATCTTAATGACCAGCAGGACAGCTGACTAAGAAACCAGTCAATAGGGCGCCTGGGTGGCTTAGTCGGTTAAGCATCTGACTTCGACTCAAGCCATGATCTCCCAGTTCAGGAGCCCCGCATAGGGCTCTGTGCTGACAGCTCAGGGCCTGGAGCCTGCTTTGGATTCTGTCTCTCCCTGTCTCTCTGCCCCTACCCCACTAGTACTCTCTCTCTCTCTCTCTCAAAAATAAATTTAAAAACATTAAAAAAAAAAAAAAAAAAGAAAAAGAAACCAGCCAATAACAATGAAACTCATAGTAGGCTTAACTTGACCCTGCTCTTAGCTCAGTCTTAACTGACTAGCCCTAGACACATTATCAGCTAGAATCTTGTTGAAATTTTCTCTCATTCCTTTTGGTCTCCCATCCATAATCTCTGAATTGCTTGAAAAATCTGCACAACTTATGTCCCTATATTTGTTACACTTACTAAAACGCATTTCTTAATTATAGGAAAATATGAAGACCCCTGCAATTCAACATGTCTAACGTTGAACTCCTCCCTCCACAAATGGTTCCTTCTTTATTCTTCTGTAAGACTTTAAATAGCTGTAATGCCCACCTAGCTGTCTGGGCCAGACACCTGGGAGTCATCCTTGATCCTTCTCCATCTTGTTCCACATCCGATCTGTCACTAACTTTTTGGCTGCATTTCTAAATCTCTCTCAACTCTTGTCCCATCAGCACTACATTAATTCACTCCACCAGCATCTCTGGCCTGGGTTACAGCTCATTCATCCTAACTAGTCTCCCTGACTCCAGATCTCCTTAGATCTGCAGGGCACCAGTGATCTTCCTAAAATGCACAGAATACCCCACCCGCATTGTTTAAAATCCTTCCTGCTGCCCTAAGTCCAAGTTCTTTAGAGCAGCCTACCCATCTCTCTAGCTTTATCTTCTGCTCACTACCCTGTAGCACAGCAAAGTTGCTGGGATTCCTCAAAAAGGCGTCAAAGCTTTAACCATTTTCCTCAACCTAAAGGCCTCCACTTATATTATCGTGTCCTGTGAGAAGCCCTCTCTTACCTGCCCTCCTAAGCGAGGCCAGACGTTTCTGCATCCCCGAGTCCCCTGTCATGGAGCCTTACCTCACTTTCTATTCCCCCAATGTTTGTTTATTTTTGAGAGAGAGAGAAAGAGCAGAAGCAGAGGAGAGGCACAGAGAGAGAGGCAGACACAGAATCCGAAGCAGGCTCCAGGCTCTCCGCTGTCCACACAGAGCCCGACATGGGGCTCAAACTCACAAACCATGAGATCATGACCTGAGCTGAAGTCAGACACTTAACTGACTAAGCCACCCAAGCGCCACTTCACTTTGTTTTCAGTGGCCATTTAGCTGTCTACACATCTTGCAGAAAGAGTCTACGTCTCTCCTGCTCACCATGGTATCTCTGGTGATACCACTCATCACCTGGCACATGGCAAGTGCTCAATCATCACAGATAAACGAATCAATCCAAAATCTAAACATAAGTACATGCAGACCTGATATTTAATTGAACATAAAGGTAATTTAGCAAGATTGTATCCCAAGTGTACAACCATATTTTGGGGGGGATATCTGTTTCATAAATTACATGTTTTTATCTGAATTCAGGGTGCCTGGTCATGTTCCAAAAGCAAGGTTCACCACAATTTTTAGGATCTATATACACTCAGAGGGAGAATATATAGTAAATGACCTGGAAGTGTCCATTCATCTTCAGTGTCTAAAGAATACAGCCATCTGGTTTTCCAACCTGTCATTTCAAAAACTAATGCTTAAGGCAGATTTTAAGGAGAGATTCATGATAGTCCTAAATAGTGAGAACCGAATTATAGTAAGCCTTGACAGCCTGTAATGTGCAGTTCCTTTGCAAACACAGGACAAGGCATTAAAAAGAATAAAGCAAGTCTCATACTGACCTAGAAGAATGACTGGGATATCTTTTTTGCTCATGAAATACATATTAAGTAGCATCAATGTGCCAAGGAGTAATCTAGGACCTTGAGCAGCACCAGTGAGTAAGAAGAACAGGTCCCCGTGTTTGTGGGATCATTGAGCACATAGGCTAGTGGGGGCTAGATGAACAAGTTCTAGGACTATGAGTGTAATGTGATTCATATTTGAAAAATGTTTACACATTTATATAGAAACAGAAAAAGTGTGTATTAGTGTTTGTATGGGCAAGGAGAAAAGATCCAAATCACGCTACAGTGCTTGGGTTTCTTTCCATAAGTAGCCCCGGCTTCTGTAATTTAAAAAAGATGCATTTAAAAATAAGTAACTCAGTTACAATTATGAAAGACTAAATCTGAATATTTGTTTTTAAGCAGATTTATATAAAACGCTTAAGATCATTTTAACCCTTAAAAAATACCCACAGTAATTATCAGAATTCGTTTAGGAAGAAAACGAAGGCTCTGCGCAAACTCTGTAGAGAAGGCTGGGTACTGGTCAGGAATTAAACAACCTTTCTGGTCACTTGTGATCCTGAGAGTTAATAACTTTATAGTTTCGAATATAATCTTGAAAATAATATAATTTATACATTGATAAAACTAATCATTGAAAAATGCCCACCTTCACTATAATCAAAGCAATCAAAAAATAAAACAGTGAATTATCAATGGTGATCACTATGGCATAAGCATCATCATAATATAAATGTCTAATGATTGAGGGCTGAACAAACAGTATTTGTCACAAGGTACATGTAAGCATCCATTAAACATAATCTTGAGGAAGAATATTTAATGAAAAAGGAAAATGTTTATGTTGTATCTGGTTAATTCCTTCTTAAAGAATTAACATTATAGTCTGACTACACACATATCACTGACTCCAGGTGATAGGACCAATTTTTTGTGTGTTACTCTTTGGGCTTTTCGATGTTGCTAATTTTCCTCAAAATTTATATGAAATTTTGTCAAATTATGAAAGTATTTCAGCAGCACACACACTTCTCAAGTACTACTGGCTTTTTAAATTACACATATCCTTTTAGCATTCAGCATCTACCATGCTACAACGTACACTCAAAACATCGATTAAAAGAGTACATACCACCTACAATAATGTAAAGAATAAAGTCATCAAAGATCTTTAAATACTTTTTAGAAAGAGTAATATGAATGATTTACCCACAGCAAAAAAAATTAAGGCACCATGCAAGACATCACTAAGATTCTACTCATCTCTACTTGCCTTTAAGTTTTCAACTTTTTCTTCAAATGATTTGAAAGTTGGGGAGTTTCTATGGAGAGAAAGAAAAACAGAGTCAAATTACAAACACTGAAAAAAAAACTCACCGATTTTGAAGCATCATTAGTTGACTGTACTCCTCTTCACAATTATTCTCAATCAACAAAGAAACACATATGTATTTAGCTGTACGTGTGTGTGCAGGCATACATGCAAAGAGGTATTATTAGCTAAGATATCAATTTCTGGCCTAAGATTCTTACAATGCCTTTAGTTCCACAAACAGCCCATCTCAGACGTGATATAGACACATTCAAGTACAAGTGTGAGGAGAAGACACAAAGTCAGGTAAAACACGAATTCTGTCACTTCTTCATCTAGGCGTGCCACCACTAGATCAGTTTAATTTTGGTTAAAGCACTATACTCTAAAACTCGTGTTTAAATTCACACGTTGCCTGGCAAAGAGTCCTACATGAACCCACATCACCAACCAGGACAAGCAGACCACATGAGGTTCTACAACGAGCATCCTGGTTCCCAGGGAGCAGCATTAGAGATGAGAAATGAGAGACCAAAATAAAGGAAGAAGCACAAACATGTGGTTTTGCCTCAGTCACAAAGCTGCCCCAGTGACAGAGCGCTCTGAGCCCCGGAACGCCTCTCCCGCGCCTTCACACTCATCCATATTGATTACCGAGGATCACAGAACCTATGTTGCTCATGTCTGGGTTTCTGAAGCTTTTATACTATCCACCTGACCTCAAATATCCTTCCTACTACCTAGATGAAAAAGGTGAAGAAGGGAACAAGGGGTTTCTCCTCCCTACCGCGGTGATGGGCAGCCGACCCAAGAGGTGGACCCCCAGATACATCAGGAGCACTTGGGAAGTTGTGGGCAATGCAAGTTTTGAGTTCCCACCTCAAGCCTACAGAAATCAGAAATCAGAGGGTGGAGGGGGGTCCAGCAAGCAGAGAGTTTAAGCAGCATTCCAGGTAGTTCTGGTGTCTACTAAAGGTTAAGCCAAGCATATGTTGTTAAAAATTCCCTGCCTCGGGGCGCCTGGGTGGCTCAGTCGGTTAAGTGTCCGACTTCAGCTCAGGTCATGATCTCACTGTTCATGGGTTCAAGCCCTGCGTCTGGCTCTGTGCTGACAGCTCAGAGCCTGGAGCTTGTTTCAGATTCTGTGTTTCCCTCTGTCTCTGACCCTCCCCTGCTCATACCGTCTCTCTCTCTCTCTCTCAGAAATAAATAAAAACATTTTTTAAAAAAGTTTAAAAAAAAATTCCCTGCCTCTCTAGAGAGGTTAATGAGGTAATAACATGCACCGCTTGCGCGTTGTTTCCTGATGGAAGAGGATGGCAGAACTGAATCACAGTGGCTGCAAATGTCAGAATGGGATGAGGGAAGCGTAAACAGGGAGGTTGGAAAAGCGGAGTAACTAAAGCTTATGCCGACAGAGGCGGTGGGACACGTGTACCTATGAAGAGCTTTATTAGATGGGTTAGTGTTCACTTTTTCAGTTAAGCGGATTTAAAATATAAAATAATTTAATAGGTTTACAAAATAAAATAGAATAACTCTTTTCTTTTAAAATCCCAAACCTTTAATGGATCACAGGCACCCACCTTAACATTATAGGAAGAGCAAGTGAAAACGAATACAGCGTTAAATGCACAGCGTGTTTAGAGCAGAACGCTAGTTCTCCGCTACAGAAAAGTTCAAGTTTACACACCCAAATAAAGAATAAGAGAGCACAACATCAGCTACATTGTGTAAAAGTATACTTTACCTCATGGCAGGCATGCTAATTGAATGTTGAATGGAGCGGATACTAAGAGGCAGCATTAAAAAGAGACAGACATGAAGTTAGTATGGTGATTAGACATTATAAAACTCAGCTCTCTAGGGGCTCATTCTTTTGGCACCATTAAGACTTATCTACTTTTTGAGGTGGAGGGGATCAAAGTCATTCCAATGTGCTTTTATTCGCAAGCAAATTATTTTTTAATTTTTTAAACTGTTCTTACAAGTTTATTTATATATTTAAATAATTTCTGCACCCAACATGGGGCTCGAACTCAGGACCCCAAGATCAAGAGTCACATGCTCCAACTGAGCCAGCCAGATGCCCCTTCGTGAGCCGTTTTAACCCAAGTAGTTAACAGAACTAATAATTCAACCTTGCGTTTTATAGCACTTAAAAAATTCTACAGTGCTTTCCACTATATCTATGGGGCATCTAGCACTGAGGCTCAGAAGTGAAGTGCTTTACCCAAGGTCACAGCAGAATGGAACCTGGGTCTTTGGGACTCCTGATTCAATGTTCACCGCCTCCCCTCAAAAAACGAAGCACACATACAGGCACACACACGCACAAGTGAGGCTGGTGAAGGGCTCCAGCAGCGGCCTTTCTCCCACATATTTGTGATCAGACCAAAACAGGAAGGCTTCAAAATAAATCATCTATTTCACAACTGCCAACTGATTTACAGATCACTCCTTAGTAGTAGTATCAATTTCCTAATAAGAGACACTCATACTTCAGCCCAATGAAATAAATGTTCTTAATGGTCATTTTTAGCCCTTTGTTTTACTAGCACCAACTTCTTTCTCAAAGGCAATATAGTTTACCAATTGTTCAGGTTCAAGGTTATCTACTCTCAGCCATCTCCCATAGAGACCACCTCACAAGATGAAATCACTTTAATTCTTGGGCTCACAAAGGCACGGTAAATTGCTGATATGATTACTCTGCTTATAATAGTTTGATCACTGGCACAGCAGCTTTGGTAAGAAATCTTTCCTTCTGGTAAGCTGGACAGTCCAAGGTATTCTCAATTATGTTTGAATATTGTGTGTGTGATTTAGTTTCCTCAAATATCAGTTGCTACACATGACAATGTGTTTTAAGAGTAGCTCCCCAAATCTAGTTTTGCACTAATATGTAATGACATGGGGTATGATCTTGATAAAAATCAAAATATGCCGGCAGTTCACGTAGTCCAGATAATCAGTAAAGTATCAGGACATCTTCGTACTTAATGTGGTATATAACACAGGAAAGAATCCATGCAGCTCAGCACTCTCTCTATGACAGTGGTAGATACCCTGGGTACAAGACTACATTCTAGGAGGAATTTGCTAACGTTTTTCCTGCTTGATCTATTGCAATGGGCTAGATCCATACTTGAGGGATAGAGATTAATAAAAATCATCCTTCTTAGTTTACAATACTATTAATTACAATAGTTTAGACTAGCTTAGATCCTTCTAAAGAGCCTGTCTAGTCACATTTCCACAGCCCCCTTCCATCATCATCAATAATGATAACTGGATTGGTAGAACTCCACCCACCACAACTAGCCTCCCAGTGATCTGCAAACAGTTTGGACTGAGTGAAAAGGAAAAAAAAAAACAAAAACAAAAACGAGGACAATTAAGATTCTTATCCTCGGATTTTGTAATCAGGACACTAAGCCACTGGTCAGTTAATGGCTAGGTACATGAGCTAAAAAGTTATGTGAACTTAGACACTGAGGAAGGCCTTTTTTGGGACCAGGAGGTATAGGCTGCAAGAATGCAGAAGCCAGTTCCCAAAGAAAGGACGAAGTATAAGTGCACAGACAGGTAGAAGAGAGATAACCATGCAGGGAAGAGGGCAAGGTGCAAGAGGAACAGCAGTTTCCTTGGTTCTGGGAAGCAACCTTGATTTATTTCTACCAGCTTTCCAACAAGTAGGGCTAATCCGCATGGGGCAAGGGCTCGCTACCTTTCCTCTCCTCAGATTCCAAAAGAACTTTCTATGTGACACATTCTCCTTCTTAGGTGAGCTAGTTTACACAATTTTTTGTTCCTCATAACCAAGACTCTTCACTGGAACATTCACTTTGACAGAAATTACCAAATTCTGACAAGAGAAGGGGAGTGATGGCTGAATGTATGATAAACTGCCTGTTCACAGGACTCACTGACTGAATTCAATAGTATCAACAAAATGAAGAAATAGGTAAAGTGCAAATTTCAGAAATCCATAGCTAATTGTAGCCACTGCCCCTAAACACCCACTTAAAACTCATTCCTTCCAATGGCCATTTGTGGTTCTGTGCCCCTTGAACCAGCATACACGCTAGTTAAGAGGAAACAAGTCAAAGGCAAAGTGGAAGAAATGATCATAAAATGAATTCTAAATGCATCAAGTTGACCGTAATTCAACATCCAGGGCACACATTACTTCAGGATTATTCTACATGAGAAATAAACTGAGGTCATAAGAGTTGAAACACTGAATGATAAACATCGCCTGAAATGATCAGGGGATGGAGACTGAAAACAAGAAGTCAGGGAAGAGCTACGCCTGCATCTAGTCAAGGGGTCTCCCCTGATAAGGGAAAAGACAGATGGGAGTGAAACATTAATGTAAGGAGGTATCAGGAAGAAAGGGGAAACTCACAAATAAGGCAAACAGGAGCAAATAATAAAGTTGGAAATACAGATAATTGCTTAAATATTTTTTTACAATGTTAACTACAGCAAAGGACCACCAATGTGCTTCCAAGAAAACCAAGTCAGAAGTTGATAATTTGGGGCATTTTAAGTTATTAGGCACCAAACAGACATCAATAATTTTTGCAATATGACTTAAAGAAGAATGTTAAAATGATCAGTTTGAGAAATCTAAGAAACAATGTAGCATCTCTTATAAAGGACTTTAGGGTCCTTCACAGGATCATGGCATAATCATACTTGCTAGCATTGAACTTCAATCAGCAAAGACAAACTGAAGCATACACACACTAAATGTTTAAGTGGGACTATATCAGGGAAAACAAGGAAGTGTTAACAATAAGGTGTGTCTTTTGTGATAAATCACCAAGTTGACTTTTGTTGTGAGCACTTTTCTATAGGTTTTATATTTCACGATAAGATTAAAAATACACTCACTGAATAAAAAATGAAATCAAATTAATATAGATACATACAAAGTCCCTATGTCTCCCTGTAGTTGAGGTAGCTATTTTAATGGCAAAAACAAGAAGTATCTAGCTATTT